GTGAAATATAGACGTGTATAGTTTATAGCGATGTCTCATCTATATATACAAAAGATTAAAAACTTTGATTAAGAAAGTACCTCTAACTTGAGATTTAGTACATAGTTTCTCAGGGCGAAATAATTTGACCTGCTTTGTGTCTTCCTCTGGCTGCTCTGCAGGTCGAGCAGGACAGGGAAAAAAACCTTTGCCCTGTAGGACGTGGCAACAGAGCAGCTCTCTCGTGATGACGATCCTTGTCTGAGATACAGAAAATTATGTTGACTTCATTTATATTGCATTCTCACATTACAAACACTTTAGTCACCAAGTACTCAACAGATTTAATTAGAGTAAAATATTTGTTGATATCTTGAGAATAAGGTTAATCTCGAGTCTTCGCCTTGACACTTATTTCACTCTAGTTTCAATCTGAATAATAGATTTTTAAGATATTCTAATAATTTGAGATCAAGATTATACTTTGCACCACTTATTGGAACATGATATGATTTTTAAAGTAATGACACGAGTACAAGATTTGAAAGTACAGACATAAACTGTTCGTCCTCTATCGATTTTTGACCTGCTAATATTGTGAAATCTTTCTAGCTTGAATCCAACAGCAAGCAACCTCGATGATCGTTCGATATTATCATTATCCGCCGTGTACTCATCTATTTCATTTATTCTATATACATAATTATCATCTGATCTAACTATTTTCACATGTTTGTACGTTCAACTACAGCGTATTTCATATGCATATGTATCATCGATGTATAAGATGGGATGCAAAGGTTCAATCGCCTAAGCCAGCAGAAAATTTTGCCTATTTAATTTTTGACAAACTTTGAGAAAATTGTGTGGTTCTTAAGATATAAATAGTTTATGCAATCTAATCGCTTTAGTTGTGTCGTCAGCTATTAAAACAAATCAAAATCTCAAGTATTATGATAAGAAACAACATCATGGACAATAGTGAGTGATACATATGCATGTCAAAGTTACCACATATTGATAACTTCCTATTCAAATTATTCTTTCGTTTTTTGACTTTAGAGGTCTTGTAGCATGATATTACCGATAAATTACTTGTAGCATATGCAAGCAATCATCTCAAACGCATTGTTTTTTAAACTAGTATGACAAAACTACGCATTGCCAATCGCTTAAATAGTTCTATCTATTTAAAAGCCACAATTTAGATAGATATCTAGATAGTTCTATGAGAAATTCTAGACGCTTCTTATTTTCTCCAAACATGCTTAGCTTACAAAACGTGCTTGTTCGATTTCATAGATCAAAACATTCTGAAAATCATGGTATGACTTGCTGGCAACTTTCATCCGATGACCAGCAAGCTTAAAATCTGAATTACAAATGTTTTCTTCCATTTTTATGCCGTCATACATTGTTTTGGAGATCAATCGTCGTGAGTTTGATGAAAAGAAGAAGTCAGCAGTATTCTTTCTCGGTGCAATCACGGTTTTTCTGACTCGTTTTCGTCTATAATCCACACCCAAACGTGGAATTATTTAATCACAATAACAATAATCACGTTTCCATTGAATCACTCGTCATCACTGCCTCTAGATAACTTCGGAAAGCTTAACTAAGCTCTTATAACTTTTCATTCATACAATATGTACAAATATGGACAAATAATATTTTATTTCACATGTTTTGAGACAAAACCCTAAATGTCATCATGATAGAAAGAAGTAATTTTTACTTTACAAATCGAATAATTATTACTTCTAAAAAAATATCTTATATATTAATTTCATAGTTTTCTTTGATATAAATTGTATCAAGAGAACCATGAGTATAATTACTTACAAAAATATATATTTCTTGAGTTATATTTTTTAGAGAAAATTCAAGCTCGAATAAACAAAAATGAGCTATCAGGACTAAACTTTCTTTGTAAAGGTTTAATTGATTCCAATAAAAATCGAATAAACTACTAAGACTTGTACGATTCGGCATGTTCTTGAAAAAGAAATTTATGAGAAAAGGAGAAAAAAAGCAACATTTTTTATGTCAAAAGTAACAAAATTTTTTAAAACTATAATATCGATTTCCGACAGATCTAATAGTATTATGAGAAGAATGGCAGAATGTACTATATCTTAAATGGATTGTGATATTGTTCAATTAAATGAACAACTATTTCATAGTGAAAGTTACCATAATCGTGAAGTGCTTATTCGTTCCTCGTATGTTTTCCTATAAGTTATTTCAAGCTAGCCAATTAGGGTGCGGGTGCGTGTGAATGAGCATGGGTCTTCTCTTGACTCAGATTTACGCCCATATTCACATTCACACCTTCATTCGCACCTCATACTCACGCATTCACACCCACACCCTGATATCATTCATGTAATCAATGTTATTAGTACACGATGAAGACGGAGGAAGCTTGAGAAAAAAGAATGCTGTTCGTTGTGTTGTTGGTAATAACACTCATAGAGTAATAAAAATGCACTGTTGATAAAGAAATGAGAGGTTTCTTTTGAAAACTCCTTTTACTTTGACCGTCTTAAGAGCATTCTCGTTTTAACACAGAAGACTGAGTTGCCACCCGGTGACCGATCAATTCGTCGCAGAATATTTTCTTTCGTTCTGTTCGTCGAGAACAATATCGTTGCGATCAATATGTCGATATCGCTCTTAATTACTTTTATTTTCAAACATGTGAGATTGATCAATTAATTCATTTTTAACTTTTGTGGAGGAGCATTGGTTTTCCTTTTTCAGAAAGGAGTTTCTGAATTTGAGACATTTTTTGGAAGTGTTGTGTACA